CTTATACAAACTAGCTGTCTGACCTAGGACAAGTCCTCTGGGCCTCAGTTTCCTCATTTGTAAAATGAGGGGGTTACACTAGTTGAACTTGAAAGTTTCTTCCAGATCTAAATTTATGGTCCTATACCTCTCAGGATCTGCTCATGTGGCAAATGGGGGAGTTGGGGGTTCTTAACATGGGGTCCATGAATTTTAAGAAATATTTTGATAACTATTTTAATCTAATTGGTTTCCTTTGTAATCCCATGTCTTTTATTTTAGATATTTAAAAACATGATTGTGAGAAGGGGTCGATAGAAAGGGGTCTATGACCAAAAAAAAAGTCTTTGGCCCAGATAGAAATGTTTTGGTTTGGGTTTGATGGGGCTTTTTCTTTTTTTCTTTTTGGTCCATACCTGTAATTTCTCTGTCATTGGGGACTCCCAATCCAGAAAGTCCCCTTCCAATAAAGGTCACTTTCGCAACTTTTGGTCTCAGAGTGTTGCCCTGGAGCCGTAAGAGAATACATGGCTTGCCCGGGGTCATTCAGCCAGTAAGTGTCAGAAGCCAGAATTGAACATTTCTAACATTCACTCTTGCTCTGCTGTGATCTATGAGCACTCGTAGGCATAATTCTACCTCTGGGTGACGAAATGCTCCATCACTGGGCTAATGAAAGAAGAAGGAAGCCAATTTCAGAGCTATGAAGAAATCAGGCTCTGTTTCAGCCTTCCCAGGTCATGGGTAGCCGCTCATCTGTTGCTCAGTCAACCCCAGTGCTTTCGGAGGTCCATGAAAAGAGCGTTTCCTCTCTTCCCCTTGGGAGGAGACATCTGTTTATTTCACAACAAAAGGGGAAAGAGTTCTTTCCGAAAGTTTGTCCCAGCTGCAGTTGATTCAATTCAACAATTCGTTAACTTGTTACTTTGCACCAAGTACTGGCCTAGGCTCTAGAGAAACAAAGACAACCCCCTTCCCCAAACAGTCCCTGCCCTCAGGGAGCTTACTTGCTACTTAGGGCTGGGACTGAGAAAGTGGAGGGAAGGGTAGGTAGGGACATCACACTTACACACATACATAATAATGCAAAGTGATTTTGAAAAGACTGAGGGAATCTCTGAAGGGTCTCATGTAGGTGATTAAATAGCTGATGAGCTAAAGCAATGACAGACATTGTGGCCAAGTAGATAGAGTGCTGGGCCTAGAGTCAGGAAAACCTGGGTTCAAATCCCACCTCAGGTGCTTAACATTTGCTTGTAATGTAATAGCTCTGGGCCTCAGTTTCCATGTCTGTAAATGTGATGTGTGACCCTGCACCGTCACTTCATCTCTGTTTCCTCATCTGTAAAATGAGAACAATATTATCACAAGGTTGTTGTGAGAAAAAAATTAGACCACGAGATAACATAGGTAGAAAACTTTGCAAACCTTAAAACACCACATACATGTTTGGGTTTGGTGGGGTTTTTTCTCTTTTTTCTTTTCAGTCCATACCTGTGATTTCTTTGTCACTGGGGACTCCCAGTCAAGAAAGTCCCCTTCCAATAAAGGTCACTTTTGTAACTTTTGGTCTCAGAGTGTTGCCCAGGAGCCAGGAGAGGATACATACATCACTTGCCTGGGGTCATTCAGCCAATAACTGTCAGAAGCCAGAATTGAACATAGGCCTTCCTAACTCTGAGGTCAGCTCTCTACCCACAATGCCACAATGTAGGGATCTCTTAGCAAGAGTAATAATGAATCAAGGCAAAATACCCAAAGAGGAAAACTAGACAATCCGGCTTCTCATTCCACCATTTCCCCCAATCCCTGGGGAAGTCTACATGGTTCATATTTAAGAAAACACTGGCGTGGCCATGTGGGAGCAGGATAAGCTTAGGGGTGAACTCAGAAATTGGAAAACTCTCTAGGGAAACTTGTAGAAACTCTGGAGAAGAGATATGACACTGTCCCAATTGTGTCCCTAATGCTGCTGAGGACAGAGCTCCTTGTGTAGGCTGGCACTGGGCATGTTTGTGTTTGTGGGGGTGGGGGGAATGATACCCAAAGACAATGAGTGCATGTCCCATTTGCCACCATCGTGGTGATGTTAACAGGCTATGGCCTTGACCGTCCAGCCTGACAAATGGGACAGCTGAAAGGTGAGATGTCTTTTTGTCATCAGCTGCTTTTGACACGGGACAGCGGCAGCAAGGGTGGCTCCTGGCTGGCACCAGAAAAATCCGTGCTGGCTTCCTCGGAATTCCCCCTAGAATGATGGAGTGTTAAGACCATGAAAGAAGAGATGGAAAGAATGCAGCTATATAAATGCAATCCAACTTCAAAGGAAGTTGAAACTCCAGAAATGACTGGGAATTTCTGGTCTCCCATGGGTCCTTTCCACATTCAACTCCATTCCACCAAACTGGCCTACTCACAATCAGTTCCCCACACAGGACAATCCAATGCATTCTCCCTACCTTCGTTCAGGTGTCCCTAGCGCATCAGGAAAAAGAGGCATTTGGAATCTCTGTTTGTGGTCCAAGCCCTGTGTAATTCGCTGCCCCACTCTGGCTTCAGTTTCGTCCTCTGGAAAACGAGGGGGTTAGAGGTGACCTCTGAGGTCCATGTTTGGCTTTAAACCCGTGATCCTGCTTGTGCATCACCACACCCACCTCTGCCTCTGAAAATCCTCAGCGTCCTCCAAAGCTCTGCTCAGGTGTGTCCTAAGTGAAGCCTCTCTTGACGGCAGAGTTGTTAATGATCCCTCCCACTTGAAATGACTTTGTCCATACTTTGCATCGGAGAGGCCCTGTAGCTTGGTGGATAAAGAGCCCAACCCCCAAGGATCTTGGTTCGTCCCACCTCTGATGTCCGCTCAGGCTGTGTGACCCAAGTCATTTGGGCTGAGGCGATGCTCTATTTCTCTAAGACGACAAATTGCCGAGAGGGTGCTGACCGGCATGTGTAGAGGTCCAGCCATCTGGGAGTTCCCTAAACTAATGAAATCAGAGATCCATGCCCTCTCCTTTATATCATGCATATCTTTATGTACATATTGAGGGACCCCCCCAAACTCCCTGGGGACAAGTACTAGTTAATTTTTTAGTGTATGCCTGCCTGTATTCCCCTAACCTGGCACACAGTAGATGATAATCAATGTTTTCTGAACTGAATCTCTGTGTGTGGAGTGTTTGTTGAGATCACTCAGAGGGTGGCCTTTTCACCACAGGGAAAATATGAATGGGATCTGAGGCCTGGGCTCTCTGCATGGAAATCCTGGTCGTTTGCCCAAGATGCTTTGCTAGAGGTAGTCTATCCATCACGGTTAGAGGAACCCCGTGGCTGGTCTGGGGTCACATGATTCATAACTAATGCCTGCAATATGTTGCTGTAACATCATGGTGTGCTAACAATGGAAAACAGAATGTCAAGCTTTTTTTACATATTACGACTCAACAGTTGATTGTTTGGTTATTAAATTTCTTTGCAGGCTTTTAAAGTGGGAAAAGTAAAGATAAAGCTCTTTATATATTTCTTCCCAATCAGCAAGTGGTTTCTTTTTTACTGCGCCCCGTTCTACATGGCCAATAGATTTCATCTTCAGAAGTGGAAATGCCAAAGTGGTTTTCAACTTCCTTTGGAAAAAAAAAAATGGGAGGAGGGAGGAACCCAGATCAGTGATTTGAGAAGGTAGCACGGGTACATCTGATATAATCCACCAGCCTTGGAGTCAGGCAGACCTGGGTTCCAGTCTCATCTCAGAAGCTGTGTGGACCTCTCTGGGCCTCAGTTTCTTCCTCTATAAAATGAATGGGCTAGATAGCTTGTAAGGGCCCTTCCTGCTCTAAATCTAGGATTATCTTTATCTGTCCTTCCTGGTATATAGAGAACTCCCAATGTGGGAGCTCCCCTCCATTATAAAGATCAGGAACCCTTTTAAGTAGTGATCTTAGTCGCCTGAGGCCACTGAGAGGTCCTTGACCTGCCCATGGTTGGCTAATATCAGAGGCAGGACTCTGATACTACCCAGGTTTTCCTGAGTAGGAAGTGAACTCTCTCTACTCAGCCTCTCATTTAATAATATGTAGGAAAAAAATAATATGTAGCCCTGATCTTCATAATGGAGGGGAGCTCCCACATTGGGAGTTCTCTATATACCAGGAAGGACAAATAAAGATAATCCTAGATTTAGAGCAGGAAGGGCCCTTACAAGCTATCTAGCCCATTCATTTTATAGAGGAAGAAACTGAGGCCCAGAGAGGTCCACACAGCTTCTGAGGTGAGACTGGAACCCAGGTCTGCCTGACTCCAAGGCTGGTGGATTATATCAGATGTATCCTCTGGCAGGAAGCCACAGTGATTTAAGGGAAAAAGCATTAAAACAAATCAAACGAGCTAATTTTATAAAGCGCTTAACACAGTGCCTTGACTTGAGTCGGTGCTTAATAAGCTTGATCCCTTTCCCCCTTAAAAGAAGTGGTCTCTGCCACATCCCAGCACACAGACCTGGCCGTCAGGGAAGATTTCTGTAAAATGAGATGACAGATGATGGTGATGTTTGCTCTATATCCCACCCAGGGCCGGAGGGGAAGACACAGCTGGCGGTGGGTGCGGGGCTGTCTTGGGCTCAGGAGGGAGGGTCCTTGGGGGAATTCCAGCGCATCCTAAGTGACTTGAACGGAAAGCACCTGCTTCTTGTTTAGCTGACAAAGGGCAAGGGGGCCACACACAGCAAAGGGCTCCCTGCCCGTGGAAAAAGGAAAAGAAAGTGAAAAGAATACGTTTCAGAAACGTCAAGCCTTTCCAGAAGGGTGGCGGGGGCCTTCTCTTGGTGAGACGTCCATGGAGCACGCCGTGGTTGCCCGAGGATCGCAGCAGCAGCAGCAGCAGCAGCAGCTGTGGCCAGCTGAGCCACGAGGACCCGGACGGGGCGGGGCCGAAGCGGGATAGGGGCGGGGCCGAGCCGAGCGCCGGCCGAGTCCTGGGCACAGCCCAGGCCGGGGCTACGGCTCACATGACGCCGCTGCCCCGCGGCCAGAGGGGGCGGACTGGAGGGTCCGGGAGCGTGGCGCTGGGACTGGAGCAGTTAGAGCGGCCGCCTGTCGGGGCCCGCCAACCACCACCCCGCACCCCTCAGCTCCAGCCGCAGCAGCAACAACTGGGAGCTTTCTCTGGCTGAGGTTCCTGGGCCCCTTTCCCCACTCCTTCCGTCCTGCCCCCCCCACCTCCCTTTTCTCTCCCCGACTTCTCCCTTCTTCAGGCTCCCAGCTTCTGCCCCCCTCTGGCCCCTTTGTTCAGCTTCCCTTCTCCCTACTTCTTCCTGGGCTCCCTTTCCCGATCCCTTACCCCCCCATCCCCCCACCCCAGCCCTTTCCACTTTCCGTCTTTCCTCAGGACCCCCTTAGCTCTTTCTCTCCAGCCGCTTCATTTCCCATTCTTTCTTCTTGTCCTTCATCGTCCGGCACTCCAACAGCATCTTTCCTCGATCCCCATCTCTCACCCCTCTGTGACTCCCATTAATTAGCTCCTCTCCTTTCCTCCCCCGGCTCTCCGCTCCTGGAAGCTCCTCTTCCCACAGCCCCTTTGCTCCTTCTTCGGCCATGCTGCGCCCCTCGAAGTCTGCACCCCCGACCGAAGTCTATCCTTCGGAGAAGATCGTGGTCCTCCTGTCCTGCGTCCTCTCCTTCCTGGGCTCCAGCCTCCTCATAGGCACCCATGCCCTGTGGCCGGACCTGAGGAGCCGCGCTAGGCAGCTGCTCCTCTTTTTGTCCTTGGCTGACCTGCTCTCTGCCGCCTCCTACTTCTATGGGGTCCTCCAGGACTTCCAGGACACCACTTGGGACTGCGTGGTGCAGGGAGCCCTCTCCACCTTCGCCAACACCAGCTCCTTCTTCTGGACCGTTGCCATCGCGATTTACTTGTATGTCACCATCGTCCGCAGCAGCCAGGGCCCCTGGGCTGGGACTCGCCTCCTGTATTGCTTCCACCTCATCAGGTGGGTCGTGGCTCCTGTGTTGTTTTGCCCAGGGAGCGCCCCTCCTCTCCCCTTTCCCTGCAGGAGTCATGTTTTTACAAAGGGCCCCTTCAGTGTAAACTCCGTGTGGGCAGGCACAGCTTCCCTTTTGTTAGAACACAAGTCTAGCTCATAAAAACTTGATGATTCGTGGGGGGAAAGGGTGTTATCCTTCACCTAGTATTATAGATTGCTCTCTTAAAGTAGTTCCAGGCAGTATTCCGGAGGAAAGAGGAGGCTTGTTCTCCTGGGCTTGAAAGGGCAAGTTGAAGAAACAGGAGTCGTCTTACTGGAAATAAAAACGTCCAGAAAGATACTCTCCTAATGAAGGATAGAAGGATAGATAGATGGACAGACAGACAGACAGACAGGTAGACTGAGGTGGACAGACAGGTAGATAGAAGAGACAGGTAGACAGACAGATGGATAGACAGATGGATGATAGATTGATAGATGATAGATAGATTATAGATCAGTTCAATTACTATACCAGCTACCGTGTCAAGCAGAATGAGCAGCTAAGGGAGTTTAGCTGTGTTAGAAGTCGTGTTCTCCCTTGGAGGAAGTCTTCAAGTAAAGGCTGTAAGCCCACTTACAGAGTGAATGGTAGAGGGGATTCCTTTTTGCATAGGATAAATAGACTTGGAGCTCGAAGTGACTTCCGAGGCCATCGAGACCCAGCCCCTCATTTTCCAGAAGAAGCCACAGAACTGGGGATGGTGTCAGTGTCCCACCTCCACACGCATGCTCGCCTAAGGAGCGTGACCAAGGTCAGGTCAGAGGAGAGGTCAGTAGCATGGCCAGCCTTGAGGTTTTTTGCTTTGTTTTGTTTTGTTTTTCTATTTAAGGTAGGAAGAGGGAGCAGGAGTAAGGTTCTAACTTTTAAAAGTTGTTGAGTGGTTGCCCTCATAGGGAATTTGTCCAGCTTGGCTATGTAGAGGTGGTCCTCCGATAAAGAAAGCCCTGAAAGGACGGTCTAATGGAGTTAGTGCTAAAAGAGACCCTAGAAGTCATCTGGTCCAACCCCTCCCTTTCACAGATGAGGCCCATAGAGGTGACCACCCCTACCTCTGATGCTTTTACTACTTCTTTGACTGTAAGCTAGCCACTGAATTTCCCTGGGTCCCAGTGTCTTCTGTTAGAAAACAAGGGGGTGGAATAGATAGCCTCTGGGTTCCCTTACACCTCTGGATCTATAAAACTCCGTCTTTTCCAAGGTTATGCGTGTTAAAAGTGGAACAGCTGGGATTTGAACCCAAGTCCCATTTCAAAATAAAGTTCTCTTTTGATTTCCTCCTTTTCTCTCTCCCTCTCTCCCTGTCTTTCTTCATCTCTTCTGTCTCCTTCTCTTCTTCTCTCTCTCCTCTTCTCTCTCCCCCTCCCTTTCTTCTTCTCTCTCTCTCTCTCTGCCCCCTCACTCCCTAATGAGAAGTGGTTGACCTCTCACCAGTGACTCAGTTGAGATAATTTTGTAAAGGGCTTAGCACAGAGCCTAGAACATTGGTGCTTAACATGCTAGTTCCTTCCCCATTATTCAAAGCCCGTCCAACCCTTAGCGCTATAGCCTCCTACCCCAGATAAGGATTTATGGATGGAGGGGGAAAGCTTTGACCAAAGGATCCCTGATAACAGAGCTGGGAAGCACACTGTGTTTCTTTGATGTCTGTCCTTTCCATTACCTTTCCTTACCCTGTGCCGCTCTTCCCAGTGCATTCAATCTAAGGAATCCATCAACCACCTGTCAAGGGAAAAGTGAGTTACTAACCCGTGTAAGAACAGTTGTTTTCAAGGCCAATGTCCTGGGCAGCATGGTGAAGTACCCAGAGGGCCAACTTTGCTTGGGGTCTGGAGAACTGGACACTTGAGACACTTAGCAGCTCTGAGAGCTTCTTCATCTGTAAAATGGGAAAATAATCTTTGCGCTATGGACCTCACACAGATCACAGGACTGTTGTAGAGAAAAACACTTTGTCACTTTAAATTTCTACTGAAATATGAAATATGATTAGTGAGTATCAATCAGGCCATCCAATCCACTGGCATTTATTAAGCACCTACTTTGTGCTAGGCTTTGGGGATATGAAGACAAAAATGCAAAAATGGTACAGTCCCTTGCCCTGAGAAAGCTTACATTTTCTGAGGGGAGACAACATGAATGTTTGAGAAATGTTCTGAAAGACAAGGTATCATCTACTGGGGCAGTAGAATAAGCGAATCAATGGGCTGGGCTTGGAGTTAGGAAGACTAGATTGGAATCCGTCCAGCGCTGTGCTGGAGGCGGCTCAAACCGGGCTGATTTCAATGTGAACATTTATACCTCAAAAAATCAGCAAATGCTATAGATCGGGTCTTGGTTTATCGTTTTGCTGATTGTCTAGACTTAACAAAGTGATGGAGAAAATGTTAATGATGCAGATTGAACTTAAAAGTGTGTTGTATCTACCTTTTTTTATTTTTGGAGAGCTGGTTGTTAAACATTTACCAGCACATCCCTGAATCCATTACTTGACAACGTGTTAGCCTTGTGACTTTGGGTAAGTCACCTGACCTTTGACCCTTCAGCAACTCCCCCAGGTCTCATACAAATTTGTTTCACCAAAATTTTTTGTTTTCATGGAGCCAATTAACTTTAAGGAGAGTATTTACTGAGGCATATAGCATTGATCAGAAGAGGAATAGCAAGAATGAGGGATGGGTAAAAGCAGACAGCCCTAATGGCTCCACTGGGATCTGAGTTAAAAGAAAAAAAGGCGCAGAGGAAGTTCTTAGCTAGGGTGGGAGACTCTTCTATGAAGGACCCATGGTAGAACATGAACAAGAATCCCACAGGATGTGTAGGGCAGGCAGGTGGGATGGTGTAAAGAATTCTGGGTTGGGACTTTGGGAACTGGGTTTGAATTATTACTGTGCTGCTTAGACAGTTTCTTCATCATAAAAGGAGATCTGAATGTGGGTAATCCCTGAGGCTCTTTCTAGCCCGGGTCTGTATTTCTGTGAAGCAGCTGGCTAGATAGCAATGTAGATACAGCTCTGCCTCTGGAATCCGGGAAGACCTGAATTCAAACCCTGCCTCGGACACTATCTGTGTGACTGAGCGAATCACTTAACCCATTTGCCTCAGGGCCCTTATCTATCAAATGGGGACAATAATTGCGCTTACCTCCCAGGGTTGTCAGGATAAAATAAGATGTTTGTAAAGTGCTTCGCAAACTTTAAAATACTATGTAAATGCTGACTGTTATTATTATTATCCCCAGCCTGGGGGAACTATCTTGTAGCCAGTTGATAGGTAAGTCACAGTGCTGGAGGCAGGAAGTAAGTTCCCTGGACATCTCTGTTCCTTCAATCTTTTCTGTCCCTTATTCCAATCACAATAGATATGGGCCTTTCAGGGAATATCTTGTCTCACAGTATTTATCATTCAACAAATATTCATTGAAGACATATACATGTTTGGCAGAGGGCTAGACCCTGAGGATCCAAAGACAAAAATGAACTGTCCCCTGCCTTCAAGGCCTTTACATTCTGATGGGGGAGACAACATATAAACAGATAATTGGAAAGCATTTTTTGAGCACCTACTATGTGCCAGGCACTAGGGATACACATACAATCCCTACTCAAAGAGTTTACATTCTAAAGTAGATAAGCAACTGTCTGAAGAGGGAGTATGAACTGAAAGCTACTGGGGTGGTGGGGAAAAGCTTCCCACTGGGACCTGGGACCTGATTTGAGCCCATTAGGGAGTGCAGGTTTCTAAAAGGCAGAGATGAAGAGGATCTGTATACTACATGCAACATCGTGGAGTCAAGAAATGGGATGCTGAGAGGAGGAAGTAGGCCAGCTTGGCTAGTATGGGGAATGTCAGCAACCAAGAAATATGTATTAAGTGTCTACTGTGTGCCAGGCACTGGACTAATAGCTTGGTTTACAAATGTGGGGGAAAAAACCTCACAAGCTCAAGGATCTTGTAATCTAATGGAAAAAGACAACACACAAAAGAAAGCTGAAGGTGTGGGGAGGCAGTGAGAGCAGGTGAGGAGTACACCTGTCAAGGCATGATGGGAAAAGTAAGAGAAATCCAAAATGAGCACTACCAGGATGGGAGGGAGGAGATTCTGTCCTGTGCCCCTTCCTTAAGTGGAAGTTTGAGGTTCCACTCTCAGGGGTGGGGAACCTGCAGCCTCGAGGCCCAAGTGTGGCCCTCTAGGTCCTCAAGTGCGCCCCTTTGACTGAATCCAAACCTCCCAGAACAAATCCCCTTAATAAAAGGATTTGTTCTGTAAAACTTGAATTCAGTCAAAAGGCCAAGGACCTAGAAGGCCACATGCGGCCTTAAGGCCAAAGGTTCCCAGACAGAGGGGCAGGGGGTCCTGATGAGATGTGAGTACTGAAGCTAATTGGATCTTGCAGAATGAGATTTTCCAATGAAGAGGTTCCTTCCTGGGGGGCATGGTGGAGAAATCCAAAACGAGTGCAGCCAGGTAGAAAATGAGATGTCCGAGGAGATGAGTGTGTGAAGAGAAAGAGAGTAATGTAGGGGGGAAAAAACCTCTGGAAAGGGAAGCTGTGACTGTGGTAGGAAGGAAAATATCTTTGAAAGACTTCAGAGCTCTGACCAACAAAGTGACCACTTAGGACTTCAGAGGACTGATGACCAAATCTGCCTCCCATATTTTGGCTGAAAAGTAATGGGCCAGAGGTATGTAATGAAACATACATTTTCCTGACTTAACCAATGTGGTAATTTGTTTAGCTTGCTTATACTTATTTGTTACCAGGTAGAGGGCTTCTATTTAGGGCTTGGGGGGAGTTTAATGGGTAATGATAGAGATTTTTTTTTTAAAGAAAAGAAAATCAATAAAAAATTAAATACACAGAAGGAAAAAAAATCGAGAGACACATGGTAATTACTGTCATGTTAAATTTAGTATACACCTTTTGTTTTAGAAAAAATAGAAGTTTATGGTTTCGTGAACTGT